TTATGCTTTCTTTTTTTTTCAAAAATACAACAACACTATAAAGGGTCACCATGAGTCTATGCTTCGGAACCAACCTGATGGCACACCTCCACCATGAGGCTGGACAAGAAAATCAAAGGGGAAATAAAATATAATGCTAATATCGGATATTTGGGTGATGGAGAAATAATGCCAATTACAAGAGAAAAATGAAACTTGCTTTTAAAAATACAAAATAAGTAATTTTCACTATGATGAGTAAATTGGAGATTTTCATTGCATATCTAGAATTATTTTTAACACATAAAATTGTACTGAAAAGATCCTGAGAGGCTGGGCGGAGGAGGATGATGGAAAGGAGAACACAAAGGACTAAGCCACAAAAAGGAGTCCTGGTATGGCACCGTGGGATAAAGCACTGGACTGCAAGACCAGTTTGAACCACAAGGTCGGTGGTTCAAACTCACCAGCTGCTCCTTGGAAACCAATACAGGGTTGCTATGAGTTAGAACTGACTAGATGGCACATAACAGCAACGAGACATGAAAGCAAGACGAAAATGTTGGAGGAAATTTCAGCCTGAGGTGGAAAAGACTTGCTTTATCATTAAATTCAGAACATTCTAGAGTTAACACTTCTTTGTAAAGACATGAACACTCAATATCTTGCTGTCATGATTGATGCTTAGTATGTGTGTGGGGTATTCAAGGAAATGTGGGAGGTTAAAAGTAGGAACAAACATTTACTTCTGGTTTTTGGATGGGGTAGTCATGAAGCAACTGGACTTCAGCAAAGATGGTGCCTCTTGGCTGTACCATTCCTACAGAGAGGTTGCACAGCTGAAGTCTGCAGGAGAAAAAATCAAATTTCCCTAATGATAAGGTAAATCTGACAGCACAAAAGTTTTAAGACAAGACTAGGACTTGCAGGGAAGCAAAGATGCTGCCATAAGAAAATGTAAGATGCCTGAGTGTGCAGGCATGTTTCCAGGAGGGTGGGTGAGGTGACTTCTTCCTCACGAGCCCAGGGAACAGGACAGATATGCTGCTATGCCAGCAAATGATACATATGAACTGGGTTTTGTATTCAGGTTACACATTATCTTTGAACACAATGACAGAATATAATACGAGGATATAACTGGAAGATGAATTTGGCTAAATAGCCAGCTGCTATTTGAAAGGCTGACAGTCTGAATCCACCTAGAGGCACCTTGGAGAAAGGCCTACATTGTTGTGAAGTGCCATTGAGTCAGTTCCGACCCATAGCAACCTTGTATAGGGTTTCCGAGGAGCAGCTGGTGGGATTGAATTGCCGACCTTGCAGTTCAAATGGCTTTGCAGTCTGGAGCATAAGACCTGACTACGTACTTCAGAAAAAATCAGAGCCCTTGAAAACCCTGTTTCTACTCTTTAATATGTATCTTAACTTTGAAATACATGGGGTTGCCATGTGCCAGAACAGGCTCTATAACTTATTATTAAATACTTATTATATACCTATACTTGAATTTTTTAAAGAACTTTTTAGAATATGTGGAATGTGACTTAAATGTGGACTGTGATATAAAGGCTTGGAGGGCTTAATTATTTGTAAGTGTAAAATGTCACCAGTACACACACACACACACACACACACACACACAAGCTTGTGAATGCATGCACACTTTCATCCTGGGATACATTAAGTGAGATATGCTGATGATGTATCTAGAGGAAAGTAATCAGGATGAGAGACTTGAGAACCATCTTACAAAAGGAACAGCTGAGAGCATATATTTAGTGCAAAAACGGAATCTGGACAGATGTGAAGATGGTTGGGCAACACTAGAATTATTGGGCTTGAACAAAACTCTGGGAGGATGATCTTTGCTCTGGGAGAGTCCCATGCAAGGCCTGGTTTTTAATATAAAGCCCACCTTTTGCTTGCTCCAGAAAGGACCCACAGTGTGAGAGATCATTTTACATCTCTAGGTGGTACTCAGTCTCCAGGTCTGCTTAATTCTGCTGATGATTAAAAGACTGTGATAAGGCAAACACCCATCTGGGAGTACTTGTGCATGGCTTGTCTTCTAGGGCTCGGAAGAGTCAATGGGCCTCTGAAGGGAGGTTCTACAGTACTACAGTAAGGGCTATACTGTTTGCTCTATTAATTTTTTTTTTTTCCCGTGTTGCAATGTAATGTTGTCTTCTTTCATTCATTAGCGAAATGGGGATTAATTTATTACCTTTGTCTTTATTGTGATATTTGATATATTTGAATTCTATTTTAGGCGATTCTTCTGTTTCCTTCTCTAGAATAACTAGACTTATCCACTTATGTTTGTCCACTGATGAATCAGCTGACATGGAATTGCAAAACCTCTCACAGGGCTTCCTCTACCTGCCAAGCATCTTCCTGTATTACCATCTCCGTTTTCTTGGAAGCACGGGATCTGAGAATGGAATCCCAGGTGAAACTTTCTCTATAAGAAGCAAAATTAGGAAATCTGTCACTCTCTAGTAAAAGAATGTGATTTCCATTCAACAGTAGGATTCGTCCTTGGATTGATCAATATTTTAGTGACCGACCTAGATGTGATATCTCCACATATTTTGCACAAATATGTCAACACGACTTAAGGCTGCTTGTGCTTTTATCCTTTTCCAATCTGCGTTGATTTTCTGCAGACCCTAATTACGTGGAGTTATTTGGTTCCATGCTTTCTGACAACAAGGACACCAGAGCAGATACAGTCTTATAGTAAGAACAATCCTTTTCCCTGTTACAAATTGCTTTAGGGAATATAACTATTTATTTAGGAAACATAAGAAGCCCTAATGGCAAAGTAATTAAATGTCTCAGTTGCTAACCAAAACGTCAACAGTTCTAACCCACCAGTCACTCCATGAGAGAAAGATGTGACAAGCTACTTCTGTAAAGCTGTAACTCTCAGGGGCAGTTCTACTCTGTCCATTGGGTTGCTTGGAGTCATAATTGACTTCATGGTAATAGGTAACTATTTATTTAACTTTGAGAGGCTAGTGAGAATTGTCCCTAAGGAGAAGGCTGCCATCTAAAATCCAAGGTGACACATAGATGAGAGGAGTAGAACATTCTCTTATTGATCTAAACCACTGCAACAAACCACTAAAAACCTTATCAAATACAAGTTTAGCCTCTGTTAGTTTTTAGTGGTCTGTATAAAGGTTGATCACTCATTCCGAAAATATTTATTAGCTAATTTCCGTATACCAGACATTGTCTGAGGTTCTAAGGCACAGCAGTAAATAAAATAGCCCAGTTCCCTGACTTTGTGGTACTTAGAATCTAGTGAAACAACAGGCAATAAACCAATAAGAATTGCAGGAAGGATGGACTTATCTGAAGCAAGGAAGGAAGGCTGTGAGGAGTAAGTTTGAAAGATAAGAAATCAGGAATTCAATTTTGGCTATGTTGAGTTTGAGGAGTCCCTGGGTGTTGTAAATGGTTAACAAGCTCAGTTGTTAACTGACAAGTGGAGGTTTCAGTCCACCCAGTGTCTTCTTGGAAGAAAGGCCTAGAGATCTAGTTCCAAAAATTCAGCCATTTAAAAATCTATGGCGCACACGTCTGCTCTGACACACATGGGATCACCATGAATTGGAGCTGACCTGACAACTGTCTTTTAAATTAAAAAATAATAATAATAATAATAAAGAAGCCATCTATGTAGAAATGGAAGTCAACAGTAAGACAGACAATTTGGAGTTTAGGGAAAGGAAGAAATAAATCAAAATGGTAGCACTGTGAGCATCTGCAATACTTTAAAAACTCACCAAACCCAAACGCACTGCCATCGTGTCTGTTCCAACTCATCTCAACCTTCTACAGGGTTTCTGAGACTGTAAATCTTTATGAGAACAGATAGCCTCATCTTTTTCTCCTGGAGTAGCTGATGGGTCTCCACTACCGACTTCGTGGTTAGCAGCCCAACATTTTAACCATTATAATACCTACTTTTTTGTCGTTGTTACATGCCGTAGAGTCAATTCTGATCCACAGCGACCCTGCATAGGGCTTTCGAGGAACAGCTGGTGAGCTTGAACTGCCAACCTTGTGGTTCAAACCAACTTTGCAATCCAGCGCGTTAACCCACAGCACCACACCAGGACTCCATGGAAATGTATGTGATCACTCAGGACTGACTGTGGCTAGGGAAGGATTGTGGCTGGACCCCTCCACCAGGAGAAGAGGAAGATTCAGCAAGAATCCTCTGGAGGGACAAGGTAAACTCAGAGAGGAGGGTCAACAGAAACCAAGCTGCTGAGAATACAATACTGTTCGCTTTTTTTTTTTTTCTTTAAGTTAACACTTTCTTAAGCTAAGTGTTATTGAGTCACTATTTATACTAGTAAAAAAGACATAATTATACTAGTAAAAAAGACATAATTATTCGAATGTTTCTCTCTATAAAGGAAACATTATATTCTATGAATAAAGCATTATGATGCAGAAAGACTGTTTTAACATTTCAGTAAGACATCCTTCTGTGCTGCTGGGATAAGGCTGGGAATTATTACGATCTGTCAGAAAAGCTCTAAGGTAGCATACAACAGTACCAGAGTATTGGGGGGATTTCCACCTATCTCTGTTTAATGTGGATGCTGCTCATTGGGAATGTCCTTTGTTTATTTTTATTTTTGCATCTTGCACTTGCACCTTCTATTTTTAGAACCACTTAAAATCCATTCCCTCTTAGTTTGGATTTCTGCCTTCTTTCTTATTCTCTGAGTGACCTTTGTAACCTGGGTAGGGTCCTTTCTACCCTGACTACACAGATGTTAGTAACACATCCAACAAGCACCATGGTCACGTTTGATGTTTGCAAAATTCATGGCCAACTTCACAAGTGCTTTAAGACAACAAGGCATTGATTCATATTTCACATTTTGTTATAAAGATAAAAAGAAGGTTGGAGAATCTCTGTAAGTCAAGGGCTTTGAAACAAAGAGTGGGACAAAAGTCCCTTGCTTTGCTTTTATCTCTTTTCCTCTGTGAGTCTTGAAGGTGATCTTTCTCCATCACTTCCTTGTACGTGTTCACTCCTTTGGAGAATTATTTTAATATCCTAAGAGAAAAATTCAAAGAGAAATTATAAAAATTAATAAATGATTTAGGATTATCACATAATATGTGGCAGTGATTCAACAGCAAATTATGTTTATAAAAAATTGTCCTTGGAGAGGATTATTCCCCATTTAGCTTGAATTCTGTCTGCAATATTTAGTTGCATGCTTAGAAAGGCATCTAGGGTCTTAAGGCCTCAGTTCCATCTAATTATGGGGTTACTGTCATATCAGATTAAGTAACACTTGTAAAAGCAATTATACAGATTCTGGTGCATAAAGAACAGATTTATTTTCCTATGAATGAGTAAAAAAAAAAAAGGTCTCCTCTATTAAAGGAAAATTCAAATGTAAAATTAATAATGTACATAGAGTTGTAGAATTTTAGAGCAACAGATTATTATTATCTGAGATTGTTTATCCTCTCCATGCTTTGGGGTATTAGGGATAGAACAGTCTGCTTTTCATCTGCTTTGAATGCCCAATTATCTTACATTTTATTTCCAAGTATTTTTCAAAAGAAATAAAAAGTGTATCATGGTGTGTGATGGTTACAAGCACAGGTACAAGATGTAGCATTGCATTTCTGCAGCTTTCAGTGATCTTATTACATACTTTAGGGAAGTGCTAAACACAGTAATACAAGAAGTCCTTCTTGTGGTCATGTTACTCATGCAGCTGTAGACTAACTAGTTCATCATCCCAAGTGACATCCCACATTGCTTTGATCAGTCACTGGCAGGGATCATTGTGAATCATTTTCATGAGGGGCCTTGTGCTTTGGAAATAGAGTCATTCTACAGACAAAGGTTAATGTCAAATGAACTTTCTGGTCCTTCCTGCCGCTGTCTTTAACACCGCGTCTTCTTTGACTACTGTAGTTATAATAATTAAGGCTGAGCATTGGGAGTTAACCTAGTGATTAGTAATGAGTGGCCTGAGACTAACTAATGCTGGCTGGTGTAGGAGAAAGTATAAACACCAGAGAAACTCCATCCAGCCTGGGCGAAACGTATAGCTGAAGCCAGGGATCATAATTTTCAGTAGCCATGAATGGGGAACCTTGAGAGAGTTTGAAAACATTTCACACAATTGCTTTGTAAACAAAACACAGACACATCATCGAACTTTGCTATAAAGATAAAGGAGATTGGAGAATGTTTTTAAAATCAGATACTTGGAAAACAAAGTGAGATCAAATCCTTTCAAGTCACATTTACAATTATTATATGATTTTCTCATGCAATTATTGAGTTCTGACTCCTTTTTTATAAGAAATTCTCCTATGACATTTTGACTTTAACAGGAAAAGTTTTATTGCTATCTCTTATTGAATGCAAATAGAGTCCTGGTGTGGTGCTGTAGGATAAGCACTGGACAGCAAATTGGTTTGAACTGCAAAGTTGGCAGTTCAAACTCACCAGCCACTCCTTGGAAACCTCATACAGGGGTGTATGAGTTGGGATTGACTCAAAGGCATTTAACAAATAACAACATTGAATGTAAGGAGTCCTGGTGTCTTACTATAGGATAAACACTGGACTGCTAACCACAAAGTCAGTGGTTCAAACCCACCAGCCGCCTCTCGGAAACCCTATACAATCAGAAGTCAACAACAGCACTGAATGTAAATCTTAATAGTAAAGACATGTACTCAGTTTATGTTGTTGTTGTTAAGTGTCGTCAAGTCTATTCTGACTCATAGCCACTCTGTATAGGGTTTCCAAGGATTGGTTTATATGTTTGCTGAAATAAATTTACATTCATGTGTTTAACATAAGAAATTACATCTGTTAGAAATTTGTTTGTTCATTTACATTTGTCAGTATTAGTGTCCAAGTATGCTTGCCCCCAATCCAGTTACAGCGCTGAACTTGTTTCTCTTAATCAAACTATTTTACTTAGGAACATTACCTGAAAACAACCTCTTTGTATAAGATTTATGGAAGTAGGATTAAATAAATGACTTAAACTGAATCGCAATAAAACCCCAACACAAAAGCTGGCTCTCCCATATAAGTACTAGCTATATTGAGTTTCTGGAGGTCTGAACGTGGACCCTGTTTTAGATACTAGTGGGTTTAAGGTCATCATGGTGTGCACCAGTGAAAGTTTCCTGTTCCTCCAGAGAGAAGACACTGTGCATTCAGGAGATGAAATGCCAGCTCATCTGTCCATCCAGATCAAACTTCACATGGCTCAGAAATCATTCTTGAACAGGAAACTACCTACAGTCCAATAATAATAAGATCTCACATTTACTGAGTGTTTTTTATCTGCCAGGCACTGCACTAAATCCTTTGTATGTATTAACCCATGGAACCTCATGAAGTAGGAATCATGATTCCTGTTTTACAGATGAGGAAACTGAAGCATCATGCGGTCACTTGCCCAAGGTCACACAGCTGAGGTGTGGACCCAATCAGTGTGACCCCACAGCCCACTCTCATAACTGCAAAGCCAGACAGCCTCGCAGAAAATGCAAAACTAAAACATACTCTAATAGTTGCGCATATTCAGTTTTCTCAAATGCATAGTTTTAAATGTTGCTGCTTCAAAGCACGGATCTTGTAAACAGAACTGTTAGACACTTCCCACTGTTTGTAATAGCAAACAACATCTTCACCTGAAAAACCACACTCTAGCTTTTGCTCTACTTATCTAGAAAGATCTTCAAATAACATCACTGTGGTTAGAGCTCATTTGAAAATGTGATATATTTGCTAGTACATGGATATCTGGAGGGAAAAAAATGATGACAGGTCGGGTGTGATGTTTCCTGAGTCTTCAGGGATTTTTCATTTTCTCTTTGACTAATGAAAATGGGACTAGAGCACGCTCTTGGAAAGGGAACTGCTCTCATTTCTGAATCTCAGAATCTAGGCTTTCCTGCTCATAGGCACAACTCTTCTTGTTTCACTGTACTGTCAGTGAGTCATGATGGTGGGATCCCCTGTCCTCTCCTCGGAGAATCCTTGGTGGAGCAACAGGCAGAAGATGCGAAGGATGAAGGACAAGGACAGTGAGAGTTGAAGCAGCTGACTTGGGGTGTTTTGTAAAGAATCATCCTGGTAAAGATCTAACTAGCTAGTAACGCTTTCTGCTATGTTAGGTGTCAGGTGATACTAATATTATGGAGATGGGATAATTGGGGGTCTCAGACAGAGCTGTACCACCTACCAGGGAGATTTTGGAAAATGTGAAGAGGCATTTTGTGATGGACAAAATGTCAAGGTGATCCTGAAACATAGTGGACAGGAACATAGATGTTAGGCATCTCATGTTCAGGATGGCTCTACATAAGGAGAAACTTTGTATTCACAAGGCTAGCAGGACTTGAGTTGAAGTGCAATGCAGATGGATAAAAACCCTTCCGAAATGAGGGAAATAAGTGAATTAAAAAGAGTCCTGCTGTTTCTACCTTTTCCTGAGAGAGGTGCTGACCCTCTAAGGCAGTTGGGTGTTGGCTATTTTCTTTTCTCAAGTAACAAGCCTACTCACATCTTCTCTGTGAATCACTTGGGCCAAAGTGAGGATCTTCCTAAATTGTCATGACTTTGTAGGGAGTTTTCCCCCTCAATTTTTGTACTGTAATTGTGACATTGTTTTATGTGCTCACCTACTCTTGCTAACATAAGATAAATCCTATGATGCACAATTCCAAAGGATTTTGCAAATTCTTTTATGGATTCAAACCAAATGGGCTGTGCCTTGGAATATGAAAGTGAGTTTGTAGAAAGAGGTGTGAAGGGATGTGACTAGCCTATGGGACTTGCTTCACACAGATTAGTACTTGCTGAGAGCAAAGGAAAGGGTAGCAGATGCAGGAACATGCAATTAATTGTCCTGCCTCCTGCATTCTGACACTGACTGACCCTCCCCCTTGAGTTGTCTGGTTCTGATGGATCTGCAGAGGCTGTAGAGTGTCTGTCCCCACTAATTCTAGAGCTGTGTCGATTACCCCTTCCTTATCTGAAGTGGAAGGAGCCTTCATAGCTTGTGAGTCACGTGTTGGATTGTGAACCACAAGCTCGACAGTTTGAATCCACCAGGCGCTCCATTGGAGAAAGAGGATGTTTTCTGCTCCTGTAAAGATTTGTAGCCTTGGAAACCCTGCACAGAGCTGATATGGGTCAGAACCAGTGGCACATAACCAGTCATCCTAAATGGAGAACTAGTCATCCTAAATGGAAAACTAGTAAAACACCAGCTACTGTTGAACTGATTCAAGTGGAGAAGAAAGCTGGTCCTTATTAATAAAGTATGAGATACAGACTTCTGAAAAGGGCTATGTAATACCTTAATTTCAACGTAAATCATAAAGAAAGGATGACCATTATTGAATGCATGAAATTATATATAGTAGGATTTATCTTATATTATCAACAACCAACAGTTGTTTCAAACTATATTTTGCTTATTTAAATAAAGAGACAAATATTTTTTAAAAGGAATCCTATTGAATGCAGATACATAATGTTGTCATCTGGTTAGGAAATCAACACTTAGAGATGAAGAAATTAATATCTTATGCTGCTCCTACTCAGAAATTCATCAATTCTACAGTGCTTTTCAAATCAGCCCACTTTCCCCCCTGTGACTGTTCTCGGTAATCTTGTCTGATGTCACTACTCCAGTGGGGGTCACCGAGCAGCCTGTGTAGACCTGCTCTTCAGTCGAGTCCTCCCACGTAGTTTCTCCTGTTTCTCTCACACTCTCCACCCACAAGCAAATCCCCTTTCTCTTCACTTTCTAGAACCCTGACCATCTTATTTCTTCTTTAGCAGACTCTCTCCATGCACACAGCACAAACAAATGTCTTATGCTTCGTGTTTCTCTAGTTTTGTACTTGGCTTGTTTGCCTTATAACTTTCTCTTGTGATTTTCCTGCATTTGAAAATTACTTTGCAACCAGGAGTGGCCTTTTCTTGAGAGCAGAAATTGTATTTGATATCATTTTTTCTGTCCCATGGAATTTATAGTATTGGCCTCAATACTGTTGCTCATGTTAGGTGCTGTCCAGTCCATTTCTGAGTCTGTAACCCCAGGGGACACAGTAGAACTGCTCCATAGGATTTTCTTGCTTTATTATTTTCACAGAGGAAGATTGCCAGGTCTGTCTCTCACAGAGCTGCTGTGTGGGTTCAAACAGCCAACCTTTCAGGTAGGAGTGGAGTGCTTAGTCACTGCATCACCAGGGATCCTTGGTCTCAAAAGTAAGTGTTCAGTGTTGAGTAGTGATCATAACAGTCACCGTATCTAAGTGCTTCCTATGTGCCAAATAAGTGAATTAAAAATTCACAATCTTATTTATGCTCACTGTGTCCCTTTACACATATATATCTATTTAACATCTAAGAAAACAGGATGAAGAGAAACTTAAGGTCAAGTAGGTTTCCTGGTGTGGCTCTGTGGGTTAATGCGATGTATTGCAAAGTTGCTTTGAACCACAAGGCCAGTGATTCAAGTTCCCCAGCTGCTCCTCAGAAACCCTATACAGAGTCACTATGGGTAGGAACTGACTGGACAGCACTTAACAACAACAAGTGGGTGGTAGGCCTGAGGTTTGTTTCCCTAGCTTTCTGATTCCTGAGCCTGTGTTCTTAAATTCTATAATTGTACTTCACTATTAAATGGACCAAAGATTTACACCCTCGGAAACCCTGTACAGGGTCGCTATGAGTCGGTTCTGACTCCACGGCACATAACAACAACAACAATTAAATGGACCAAGCATTTTGATGTCTACTAGTTTGTTAGAAATGAATTCCAATTATTACTAAAACAAATCATGAAGTTTATATTAAAAATGTAGCAATTTAGGGCAAATAGAGTTTAGGGCATAGAGATCTATGTCTGGATTGTCTCATTATTGGACATACGAAGAAATCTGCAAAAGGTAACTAATTGGTTATCACCAAGAAGTCTTGAGTAAATGTAGCTTCAGTTCCTTGCATTAATCAAAGTGAAGGTGCTTTTATCTGAAATTCAGCAAATCCTCTGCAGTCCAATATACAACTGACCAGGAGTCAAATAGACTTCATGATACTAAACTTGTATCTGAGAGAGTTGTACTAACTTGCCACACACTGAAAAGGGGCTGGTGTCAGTCTCTTTCATCCTTAACACTAGCTGTGGAAGAACTGAGACTCACCACTGAGGAGGAAGTGCATTAATTATGCGTGGTTGAGACATGATCTCTGAGTTGCAGTTCTTCCTTCTACAGCAGGCGTGGCCAAGTGTATGGATTTCATCCTCAGTTTCCTCATCTTCCATCCTATACTCAATCCACCATTGCACAGACAATGTGTCTTATGATTAGAGTACAGTATCTACATCAGCATTTGGCTGGGGCTCATGGTCTGAGATAGTTCTCTTTCATCAGAGAGATCCTATCCTCCATGCTTCTCAGTCATGGACGAAGGTCCTTTGTTGTTGTTGTTGTTAAGTGTCGTTGAGTCAATTCCGACCCATGGTGGCCCTGTATAGGGTTTTCAAGGAGCAGCTGGTGAGCTTGAACCACCAACCTTGTAGTTCAAATGACTTTGCAGTCTGACACATTAGCCCACAGCGCCATACAAGGTCCTTTGGGAACTGGAATTATCCAGAATCTGATTAATCCAACTTGCCCCCTTCCCAGCTTCAAGTTTGTGGTAGACCCAGTGGGTAGTCCCAGGGCACTGATGAGACAGCCCCATGGTACTGATAGCTTCTGGACTGTAACTGAACTTGTGGCCCTTTGGGTGTTGTGGGCTGGCCTTTCTGGTTTGGTGCTAAGACTGGCTTGGATTCCCTGTTCTGGCCAAGTCCGGTTTCTTCTTCCTCCCTGCTAGTCCACGTTAGACAGGTTCCTAGTATCTTCTGAACCTTTACCCAACCAAATTAGGACACTTTTGGATAATACTTACAGGAAATTTATAGTCTGAATAATTTGAAATCAGATCTTGAATAAAAGGATGTTTCAAGAGAACACAAACTTCAACTGGTTCCAGATTCTTGGCACCTAGATCATGAAATATTTTTACGAAGCTCTAAAGAAAAAAAAGAAGAAAACGGAGTTAATTAAAACATCCTGTGGATATTAAAATTTTACTTCCTACACGAATGTGTCCAAACTTCTGTGCAATGATACTGTATTTTGAGGCAGTTTCATGAAACTGTGCTCAAAATTGACGGCAACTTTCCTTATGTACAGGTGCCACCGTCTTGGACAAAAACCACCTAACCAACCTCATAATAAATGTTTTCTGTGTTTAGATTGCTGGCAAATCTGTCACAGTCTTGTGCTTCAATTCCTCCTTGGAATACTTTGAGTAGTGTTTCCATGGAAATGTTTTCAGTGTTCTCATTTTCAAGGATGTCTTCTTCCTTGTCCTCCTTTTCTTCTTTCAAATCCCTTTTCTCTCTCACATTTTCTTCAGGTTCAGGGGATTCCTCCAATGTACTTAGATCAGTGAAGGAAAAGGTCTATAGAATCAAATGATAAGAACATGAGATCAGACTGAGGTCCTGGCAGCACCAGTCAGTGACATCTAGAAAACACCAAGTTCATCACACGCTCTCCTTACAGTGGAGTACTACCACTTAGTTGGAAGTCACAACGTTGAAGTCCTAGGTCAAGTTAACTCATGGTCTACAAACGGCCTCACTGTGCTTTGTGCCCTTGTCATCTCTACATAACCTTGGGTTTATTACATCGCCAAGTACATCAGACTCCTCACTCAACTGACACTGGGATGAATTAGTGTAGTTTCCTAACCATAAATGTTTGGAGCTTTTCATAGTATTTACTTGTGGAAATTGCTTACAGTTGAGAGGTAATGGCTAGTTAATTTCTCACACTTAATTGACTCTAAGAGTTCCAGGAATATTTCTTGGTATACTGGTGGCTAACCCAACAAAACACTAAGAAGGCAAAATAGGAAACAAATTGAATAAAGAAAATCTGATTGAGATTTTGTGGCTGCTCTTTGAAATTTAGCAAAGAACCATGAACTCAGACATTCACAGGGGTAAAGAGTAAATTACTTTTGAAGTAATTTCTTATGTTATAATAAACCTGAAAAATATCCCTGTCATTTGATTCAGTAATTATATTGGTGGTGGTGTTAAGTGCTGACTCATAGCAAACCTGTATAGATTTTCCAAGGAGTGGCTGGTGAACTTGAACTGCCCACCTTGTGGTCCAAACTGATCTTGAAGTCCAATGCATAATGGTGCAGCGCCACAGCAGAAATTAAAGAACTAAGGATTAATCCAAAAGAAATCTTCATGTGCACAAATATTTTTTATGTATGAATGTTTGTTTCACATTATTTACATCAAAATAAAAGGCATGCATTTTCAAGCATGGGTAAATAAATGGTAACACAAATTATAATACATTTGTGATAGAATACTATGCAGTCATGAAAATGATTTAAAAGAACAGCTTTTTGTTTTTTTAAGGAAAGGCATTGGAAAACATTCAATCTAAGTGCAAAAAGAAGTTAGAAACACTAAACAAAATATACTAAGATATTAATGTTATTCATAAATCCTGGTGTGGCATTGTGGGTTAATGTGCTGGACTGCAAAGTCAGTTTGAACTGCAAGGTAGGCAGTTCAAGCTCACCAGCCACTCCTAGGAAAACTTATATAAGGTTTCTATAGGACAGAACTGACTCAAAGGCACTTAACAACAGCAACAATGTTCCTTTACATCTATGCTATTATATGAAGAAAAGAAAGCAGATGCTATACATTAAAAAATTAACAGTGGTAATCAATAAGAATCCTAATGTGGCACTGTAGGATCAGCACTGGACTGCAAAACACAATGTTGGCAGTTCAAACCCATGAGATGTTCTTCTGAAACTCTATACAGGGTCCCTATAAGTCAGAACTGACTCGATGGCACGTAACAAACACCCCTGAAGAGTCAAGGGTGGAGAACCTTCTTTTTTGTCAAAATTTATAACACCATTAATGGGATATATAAAATTATCAACTTAAAAATTAGCCTGCTGAGCCTTGGGGAAGTGGGGCTTGATTGCAGATAGGGCAGAGGTGCAGTGAAGATCTCCGCCGGCAATACCACAGAATACCAGGTAAA